TAGTCTGCTCTTAATCTGGAAGCTCTGCTGAAACTTGTTGACTCTGAGTGATGTTGCTGAAACACCACTGACATCACTTCCAGCATCACAGACTCGTGCAAGCACCACAGTGTGACCCACTGACAGACATGCGGTGGGAGAAAATGCACATCATCTAAAAAGCCAAATTCAGATGGAATAAGACTGTGATCAATACCACTGTTTTTTCTGTCTCTCCTCAGAAATAAACATTTATTATAATTAAGATGATTTTTGCTACTTAAGCACAAATCAATTTGTGTATAAATTGAGTTGTTTTGAATTAGGACAAGCCTTGCCTTCATTATCTTTTCCTCATTCTACGGTTCATTTCAAAACAAAAGCTGAAGGTTAAGAGCTAAATAGTGCTCGATATTATGTTCTATGAAGTTAATAAGATTATGGTTTCCTAAAGAATTAAGTGAAATTGTTATTGCTGTACGACAGACACACTGTTAACTCCATCAAATAAATCCTGGAGTTTATTGTAGGGCAGTTACAAGAGTCTGTTGCTTACTTGATGAGAATCCCATAGCTTCTCATGTTTTCATATGTAATAATAACATGTTTTTAACGGTCCCCATTTGAGGAAGAAACTGATGAAAAGGGGAAGATGATGTGCACATATAGTACGATAGATGAGGAATAAAAGAAAAAATAAAATGTGAGGGTAGAATTCTAGAGATTTGTAGGGACATTAGATCTTATAACATTGTTTTCCCTTCACTACAAGCTAAGAAAATGGGATTTATTGCCATTAAAGTGAGAGGGGGGACCACATGACTCCCATCAAATTCTACAAGCATTCACTACAGTAGGATTCTACCGTAGAATTGAGAGAACCCGAGGAGAAAGAGAGAAGGAACAACAAGCAAGAAAGCCCCAGGGAAGAACAGCTGTGACTAGCATGTCTCAGCTCACACTGTGACACCTGGTAGATGAAAAAGCCCCAACTAGAACATAATGGAGTTTTCCGTATGGCTGAAATAGGTTCTTTCAGCCAGTTAATTCCTGTTTTCTCCTAGTCATTCACACTTAGAACAGTCACAAGCTAGGCCAACTCTCCACATTTCAAGTTTTGAAGGAAAACCTTGCTTTAATACACCTGTGTTTAAAAATAACACTACAGTGCTCCTCTGCCCAGGAGGAGGTGTTCCCTGAGCTCTGGTCAGTCAGGCCACCACCGTCCGTGGTCAACTGAGCCCTCCCGTGAGCTCAACATTGCCCCTATCAGTGTCCTAACACTCAAGTCGGAGCCCACAGTCTCGGAAGTGCACGGGGATGATCTGATCAACAGAGGGATAATTAACAGTAGGAAAAAAACAGATCACCAATGGCGGGTCCAGGGCAGAAGAAACCCTTCAGGCCTACCATCGTCCACGATGTCCTGGGCTGCTACGGAGTTTGTGTACACCACCAGATCCGAGAGTTCACGGCACAGCTTCATGGTTTTCCTTCGTCGGCCCAACCTGTGAAGTACACACTCATGCTTCAACGATATTTCAGTGCTAGAAGAGACTTGGGCTTTTGGTCACTCCATTTGCCTTATTTAGCCGAAAGATTAAGTGACCTTTCAAAGTCCGAGGTGAACCAGTTTCAGAAGCCAAGTTAGTGCCCCTCCACCCTAACAGCCCTCTTGAGTGCTTTGATTCACTACTCTTCCAGCAATCGCGGCTTCCATTGGGGTAAGGGGTCTAGATTGCTACCATTGTGACCCAATTGGAGAGAACACCAAAATACATCAGCGAACTCATTCACCTAAGCAGGAAGAACTTACAAGGAAAAGAGTAAAGACATTGTACCTGGTTCACAATAATTACAAAGGGCAGGTAAAACACCTGTGAATGGACTCCAAACAAAACAGGTTTAAACATGGCTGTGATCAGTGGATTGCTGCAGACAAGTTCTTTCAGTAACACACTTGACTTAGTCTCAGGGGCTTAAAAAAATCCAACC